AGTGGCGGTCTCCCATTTGGAGAATTTAGAAAATAACATAGAAGAGTATAAACCGACTAGATCATGCTTAACTTCCCGATTCACTCTAGTATCTCTGGTCTTTATGCCTTAAGCTTTCACCTGCCCACTACCGACTGATGCGAGTCTACGCCCTGAACCGGCCTGGGTGCTGCAAACAGCTATGAAGCCCCCACAAGACTGAGGATTTTTTACTTATTTTCTGTCGTTAGCCTATCACGCGCCAACTTTTGGCCGCGTAAACCGGTCACTGATCTGAACTTTTCGCTGACCAAGTCCTGTGCTCAGCTCGGAAGGCACGTTCAGTGCAGTGTAGGTTCCTAAGAAAGCTCGTACCTCTGGTTTAGATGTGATGATATGTGCAGCCTTTCCTTTCTTCCAGCAAGTGGGGTTGTTCCTCTGCTTCCGTGATGTTTCGGAGACTACATCCCCACGCAGAATATTTCTATTTGTCGGTTTACATTTTCGTTTGTAGTCCCTTTAGACCACAAGGTCACGTACTCGTCATAATTTCATGCCTTTCCATAAGGCCTGTAGGGTTTTATAGTAAAGACTCTCAGTTTGTTCCCGAACTCCCTTCGAACTCCGACCTTACTCAAATAACATCGACTCTGGGCATATACATATTTTAAAGTGAAACCGACGAAGATGAGAGAGCGGGATTGGGTATGACTAGCTGATGATGGCTAATAAGCCAGAAGTGACCATTCAAATCTCCTTTGTCTTTGTGTGTTCCACTTTAGCCTATTCTACGTGTCGCAATGCGACTGCCTGCGAGGGCTCTAAAGTGAAGTTCAGGGCAAAAACGGAACATACATTGTTCCTTTACCAGATCAGTGAGCCCCACACTATCATGTGCATCTGTTTAAATGAGCACCTGCTTTGTTCATACTGACTGTTTTGTCCATGGGCTGCATTCTTGTCAGCCTTAAGGCCGATGCTCTACCGCAGTGCCACCACGACCGTCTTTAATTGACCGGACGACTAATAATGACGCGATTGATTAAAATCAGCCTTTTTTTGTACCATGCGGACGGTTGCCAGTTGCATACTTTAAACCCAATTGAAATCACATTGCACGGACTGACATATTTAAGATCGTCGCATGCTCCACCTAGGTAGTAGCTCCTCTACCTACTTCTTCTGGCAGCAGTATCCTAGTCTTCCTAATCCAAACTGAGTAGAAACTGTCGCAGTCTCGCGGATAGAGCTGAGTGGACGGAAACCAAGGGAAGCCCTGTTGTGCTCCTGGCCTTCAACATATACTTACTAGGAATAGCATGTCCGAGGTTCACTTCTTCTTGTTGACATTGGGCTCCTACTTTAATCGGCGTCAATTCTGACTAATAATAGCGCCAGAAATAGTACCAGCATTAATATCATTCAGCTACACTCTTACTTAATAGTAGTAAAAATAGCAGTAACGGTAATAGCAGCACCAACCTTGGTTTTCTTGAGTCTGTCTTGACACCTAATGAAGGTGAGTGGGGGTAAATAGTGTGGTAGTACCAGCGCAAAAGACTACTGTCATTTAAGACTAAGTGTGGCGGTGTTCTGGCCTGAATTGGATAAAGGCGGCCTACGCCCGAGCCCGATCGGTCATCTTGACTCTGTCTTGTCACCGGTTCAAATGGGTGAGGGTTTAGAGTGAGGTAGATGGTTGCATGTCTAGTTCGCTTAAATCTCCAGTCGCCGTTCCTGCTCGTGAGCACATGGTGGACTTCTTTGAAATCGATGGTCGAGCTATCATCATCATCATCATCATCATCATCATCATCATCATCATCATCATCATTCATCATCATCACCATAATCACCACCACCATCATCATCATCATCCATATCATCATCATCATCATCATCATCATCATCATCATCATCATCATCATCATCTCATCATCATCATCATCATCATCATCATCATCATCATCATCATCATCATCTTTCATCATCATCATCATCATCATCATCATCATCATCATCATCATCATCATCATCATCATCACCATCATCAACATCATCATCATCATCATCATCATCATCATCATCATCATCGGTCCTTCCTACCTTTTCCTTCTCGCATGCATCAGTGAACTGTCTGACCTAGTCGTGTTACCTCCAAGTTCACGTCTGCGATTTCTCTTTCAGTTAATCGATCCTTCGGCGCCAGCAGAGAACTATAACCACAATGGAGTTCCGATACCGACACCACCGGAATCGGTGCTCACCTCAGCATCTCGTCTTGCTGGATCAATCAGTCCTTCCTGGTCTGGCAAGGGCAGTATCTCTTCAATATCTCCTCTGCCTCGCAGTCTCCATCCCAATCTGTTGGTCCTCTTCTTTGATGCTAAACGGACTTGGCAGTGGTTGCCCCGCGAAAAACTTCAACCTCTGGCTGTCGACAATGAGATAGATCAGGAGAAGTTGCAGGAGGCCCGCCGAAGCAAGCTTCGTAACTCGGTTAGTGCTATGAAACGTGTCTGCTCTTGACACTCCTCCGGCTGGCCATTTCTGTGCTCTGAGAGTGCGCCAGCTGTAGTAGCATTATCCCATGTCAGCGCGACTTCGTATTTTCAGGGTGTTCACACACCGCGGACTCATAATTTGGTTCTGCCTTCAACGCTGTTGGTCATTACTCCGTCTGTGTTTTGAACTAGTCTCTTAATTCTTTCATTATTTGGAAAGAATCAGAAGGTACATTATTGTCTGACTGGGATTGGTGCGTTTTATTTTAATCAGATTCTTTGAAGCTTCGGCGCTGCCACATTAACTATTTAGCTTTATGCTGGCACTTTCTAGATGCTCTTTACGTACCTGTATTATAATGGAAGATACTGTGGTATCGCAAACATATTTAAGTGCAAGAATTTCTCCGTCGTCATTTGGGCTTGCTAGTTTTGCCTAGCACTAACGGATATGTTTCGACATCAAATAACTTCTGATGCAGATCTCGTAATCCACAGCTTTTCCCACAAGCAAACACATACTGTTTGTTAGCAGACTCATTCGGGGTCGGTAGTACATGTGAAATCCTTTTGAGCGCTCTCCTCGCCATGCCGGTTAGGACACTATTTCGGCCGTCTGCAGAGCTCTTTTGTTGCAAGCGATGTGTTTCACCATTGCTCTGAGGACTTTGTGATAACGAGTTCTTGAAGTCAATTTAAATGGGGGGAGCGGCAGTTTTGCAGCACCGATCTCACTTATTGCTTTAAGAAGTCATGGCGACTAGAAGTCGGCATTGGCGCACTGATTGACGAGACCGAATCCAGCACTCCCCGCGGCAATTCCCCGTTCCTTTTAGGGAAAGGGGCCAGTATCAGTCTGTCGTGGGCTATATCCTGAGTTATTTTGGCCATGTGTGTGCGGCTTAGTTCATGTCCGTATTAGGAAAAAAAATTTGGGACACGCAGAACGCTCTGTTTCCTCAGCCTTCCCCGAGTGATGACTAATCTCTGCCGTCTCAGCTATACAACTGGCAATGGTACTTCCAGAAGATATCTGCATGAAGTCCTCAATGTCATAAGAGGCTTGCCTCGTAGTTCACATGCTTACCCTGTTTCTCGTAGTCTGCTTCAGCACATGTTGTAAGTGCTTAGATTTCATCTCCTTCATAATCTAAGGTGTTTTGTGATGTCTTTTGGTGATTTGAACGTGTTACCTCGGTCAACTATCGCGTGTTAAGTACAGACTGTGAAGAAGAAAAACGAAACTCACACAAGCGGGAATCTTTTTTCTAGTCAGATCGGATGTCGGTGAGGATATGGCCCATAACCACAATGGGTAATTTTCCAGTAATCGACTTTTTTTTACTTGAGTATCTATAATTCATTAGAGTTTGCTTGACAAAAGGTCACGAAGGTGGTTGTGCGATACATGTATTTTTACCTTCGTTAGCGCTATTTACGTTAAATTCGCCCGTGTGGGGCTCAAGCTTAGGCTGCTGTTGCCAGGCTTGAGTGATGATTTTGGGTTGGGGTTATTGCTTTATGGCTGGGGGGGGAGGCAGAGGTTTTTGTTAGGATTTTAAGGTTTGGGTTAAAGTTACCCGTCAGAGGCATAGCGATGGTTAGCATTAGGGTTCTAGTTAACTGCAATTTTCCCAGTGGGCCACCTACCCTGCCTTTGCCCGGACCTCATTACTTCTTTCAGTTGTTGTCCATTATAATTTGCTATTCTAGCAAGTGCAAACTGTTTACCTGCTGTTTGGTTTTTTCTTAAATCTTTATAGGTCGTGAAGGCTTATGCCAGAGCATTGGAACACTATCGCAAAGTACACGGTCGTCCTTACATGCAGTCACAACTGTCTGAAAGCGTGAGCAACAGTGCTTCCAGCAGGGCCTTTGTCTTTTAACCTTTCTTCAGGGCTCACCGGAGCCAAAACCAAATCTCAGCGGCCTTCGCATTTCGGTGCAGCTTGTACATGCACACAGACACACAGAACATACCGACTTTTTTGCCTCCTCTGTACACATTCCTGCGAGCCTATGCCATGTTCTCCCGTCGCTGTTCCCTCCCCCCCTCCCCAGTCTTTTTTAAATGCGGACCGGCTATAGCTATCTCCGTATTCTTCATCTTTCTTTACACTTTTTGTTTCTGTCGCACTCTGTACACTCTCCATTGAAGCATTTTTTCTCGATGATCTAGCGAAGGGTCTTGACTCGAATGTCTGCCATATTGTAGACCAGGGCCGAGAACTCTCATACATACAAACCTATTCCTCTCAATTTTTGCCTCCTTTTTTAAGATGCGAATGCTGTTACCTGTGCTTCCTTTAAGTAGTTCGCACATCCTGACCAGAGTTATCTTTATTTCGGACACATATTTCAGGAGATCGGTCGGTGATAGGACTATGTGTTCCAGTTGACGTTAACCGAGATGGGTTTTTTGTAAGACGCAGTACGGACGCCCCACTTGACATTGGAGTTTCGTCTCGTCAACCGGTTACCTCGGTTAACACCACTCATGAAAATTTTGATTTTTCTGATCAGAAGAGGAAGATGCAAACGCTGGAACAAGAATTTATTTACCTGACGTTTAGGATTCTCACTGGAACCCATCACCAGAGATAGTCCCATTTGCGCGCAAACGGGATCAGGCATACCGCTTTCGCGCCATAAATACTCGCCTTCAGAGCCTTAGAAGTAGAAATTGTGAATAGTCACAGGCGATGTCATTTTTGCCGGTGTTTAACGGTCCAATCACTAAATCAAACATCCATATTAGATATCGCATAAATTCCAGCTAAATGTTCCGTTAACATTTTGCCGAGTTTCCAGGACAGCATGAAATAGTAGTGGTGGTGGACGCAAATCATTTGTCAGTCCTACAGTGTTCAGTAAGTTTTTTCCTAGGACAACTCCGATAACACCTCATAATTTTGGCGATTACTCAAAGAATGCGGAATAAGATCACGAATCAGGATCACCAGTGCAAAACTTCACAGATGATGTGCTGTCTACTGGTACTTGTTACGCCTACCTCCCAGAAAATCAGTTAAATGGCACACACCCGATCTCGGACGAACGTCTTTGTCCTCGATGAGGCTCGCTAAGGCAGGATGATCGTTATAAATAATTAGGCTACAACACTCTTCACTTGAGTAAAGGGGTGAGGCCGGCTAGTGGCGATGGTTACAGGCTTGCGAACACCGTACACTGCCTGTGAGGACCGATCACTTTTTGCCTTTTGAAGCAATTCTTTGTTTAAAAATCTGCTGAGATGGGCAAAGCATAGACTTGTTTGTGGTCATTATGTGAATATATCGTGCTATTAACACATAACCATCATTTATTTGTGCAAGCTAATCACGCGTTTGCGCACAGTCTCTGCCGATCTCCTTGAGAGTTTGTTAAGGCACTGCAACTTCCTATCAGATACGGAGACCCGATGGGTCGCTTGATTCACATATGCGTCGATATGAAGGTCGGAAAAGGGGGATAAAGTTTGCTTCAAAACGATAACATGAGAAGGCTCGTCCAAGAGTGCATACCAGCTGACAGCAGTAACACTATTTGATGGATGTTCACCGACCGCTAGAGGATCGCTTGATGCAGGTCAGTGAATGCCAGCAGCAGTTAGATGAAGATGGAAACCTACAATGATTAACTCGCCCTGGCGGAATCAAGCACGTGGACGTGGAAATTTATCAGGTCTGTCCTTGCCGTGGTGTTGAACTCCACTCGACCGGCAGCCTAGACATATACTGATGTATCCGTGCATTCCGATCCTTATTATTTTGAGGTTATATCTTCCCGTACTCTTCTAACGTCCCCATTAATACCTTCACCAGGACTAATCTTATAGCCAATTCACTTCTCCCCTTGAACTAAAAATGCGTATTCAGTGAGTGTTTGAACAATAATTTTTTCCAAGCGCCATCGGTGTGTTCATCTCAGAGTTCACTACTTCCATATGGTCATGCAGACGTTTAACAGCTATCGCCAAGGGAAGTGTTGTGGAGAAGAACGGCACATTGCGTACGAACAAGAACCTGGAGGGGTTGTATAGACCACTATGAAGGACGTCAGATTGAAGGGGCCTTGGTTTTTTAGTCAAACACTACGGTGGAGGAGCATGGTGAGTTTACTACGCTTAAGATAGGCTGCATGGGATGCCCGATTTTATGAGTAATTGACAACTAAAAAAGGTTGTGCTATGCTCTGACGGGTGGATCAGAGAGGCGGCTTCGAGCAAAAACCTCTTGACTCTTCCAGCTTAAGTAACCCAACCCAACTCCTCAAAACTTACGCTTTGAAGCAATTGCCTTATTTTAATCCATTCCAAACGTTTGTTGAACGTCCTGGCCTATTATGGGATGGTCGTTGATTAGGACATCCTCCTAGAGGTATCTCGCATGTACGGCTGACTACTGACTGAACCGAATCCGCAGGCAGAGGGAATTCGCAAAGGTGCGAGTTCCGGGATGGAAAGTTGTTCCGATGAGCAACACCAAGTGCTCGGATCGTGCTTGTTCAATGATACGGTACACTGCCATGCGCTAGTTGCTTTCGCGCATGCAGTTCGCAGGTAAATTGGTGCGTGATCGCTTTTCCTC